AAGATTTTCAGAGAATTGAAATAGAAGTGTTCTAGAAAGTCTAGTAATTGATTATGCTAGTTGCGTCATTTTGTCCGTATCCGATTAAAATACCAAGCCAGAAGGAGGAGCATGTTGTGATGTTCACAAGGACCGAGAAAGAAATATAATTTTGTTGGTTAAAACCTTAAAGAATAAGAAGCCAACCCATCAATTTTGACACTTGTCAAAGAGCTATAACTTTGAAAACATTAGAGAAGCTATTCATTCTTTTGATATTCTGTTAACTCATGTTTGTGATTTGATTCGATTGTGAGCCTGAATTGAGGGGCAATGTTTTATAAAATTCTTTCATTCTTTGATCCCTAAAATAAGAGAAAAGGGAAAAACATTTTCAAACAGAACAGTCTCAAAAGTGTAAAGTCCTTGAAGTTAGTAAGGCTTATTTTACCTCTGTTGTAGAAAAATAAATAAATGATGTTAGCATTTCACAGTATTGAAAGCAAATGGTTTGAGAGATTAGAAGGACTAAAGAATAAAACTTGTGACATTTCCTTGTGACGTTGTCAATAACCCATCAAGAAGAAGATGATCTCATTATTCAGAAGGGGCACATACTATAGCTTGTATAAAATGCAAGACATTTTGTTAGAAGAATTGATCACTTCTTAATTGTTTATGACAATGTGAAGAGACGCCTTCAAACTACTTGACAACACCACTGTGTAGTGACACCAGAATGAGAACATTCAAGTTAGGATATGTTGGGCACAAAGAAATCCATGAGTACCCACTTTGGGGCATGACCAGAAACCCATATCATGTTGGGATGACAAGATTCAGACCAAGAAGATATTGAGAATGAGTCTCACGACTTGAAGTGTTAGGGGCGGACCGTGAATTTGAGCAGAGCTTACCTTGTAAAGCAAACCAACCAAGCATTAATCAATGGCAGAGTCCTGAAAGAACAACTCAGAAAGCGTAATTGAGCCAAGGACGGAAATAGGGCAACATAGTCGTATTTCTTACCATAGCAAAAAGTGGAGAGAGAAAGCAATTTCTCCGAAATGAAGATAGAAAACGAAGACAACAAGAAGATAGAAGAAGATCAGATGGCTCTTCAGAAATACAATTTGGAAATTATGAAATGTTGCATGGGTATCTAAAGCAAACCCTGGAAGGAATGATCAAGTAGAAGAAGACTGAGTTCGTCACTTTGGAGCCAAGTGAAGATTGATTCAACATTTATGCACTCATGAAAACATCATTTGCATAAAATAAAATGCATTACATTGATACATTTAATTGCATTAGTGTTTCATGCATAAACACATGATTTTGACAGATCTTCTAGTGAAAAGAAAAGATGCATGATGTTAAAATCCCGACGATTGAAAGGTAGAAGTCAAACATCAAGTACAGGGAATCATGTTTAGAGAGAGAACCTGAGAAACGCAGGGGTCAATCCACAGGGGAAACGTTACTTTGAAGCGGGGCACGTGGCCCGACCATTAAGTAGTTTTATGAAGTGATGAAAAGAATTTCTCATTAAAATATGAAATTTGAAATTTTGAAAAATAAGTAAGGTTTCTTACCCAGTAAACAATTTAAGTCATTCGGGCCATCAGTAAGTCTTTCGAGCATGATGATAAAATCTTTCGGGTCATCTATAAGCCTTTAGAGCAAGATAATAAGTTATTCGGGCCATCTATAAGACCTTCAGGTAGGATGTTTTCATATGAGTTTGAAAAATAAGAAAGTGATGTTTTAAGAAAATGAAACCTTTGAAAATTAATAAGGATTTTTTTTTCAAAATTTCACACTTAGTAAGTCCTTCGGGCCATCAATAAGTCTTGCGAGTATGATGCTTAAATCCATAGGGCCATCAGTAAGTCTTTCGAGCATAATGATGAAATCCTTCGGGTCATCAGTAAGTCTTTCGAGCATGATGATTAAATCATTCGGGTCATCCATAAGACCTTCGGGTAGGATATTTTCACACCAAGATGATAAGTTATTCGGGGCATTTTAAGCCTTCTCGAGTACAAAGAAGTTGATCAATTGATTAAAAGGAAATGCGCATGAGGAGTCATTAACCAATTCAAGGTCCTAGGAAGAGAAAGGTTCAGATGGCAGCTGAGTCCAGGAAGATTTTCATACCTAGTTGTAGCGAGACAAGCTCCCGCAAGAGAAATGAATTCTCAAAGATTCTCTTAAATTCTAAATTTTTCGAGTATAATGTTTTTCAAATCTTCAAGCATGCATTATTGAGTGGCAACGTTTGATTTTTAAGTTTAACCTTCGAAGTTGAGCCTTTATGGAAGAATAATGAAGCAGAATCACACCATAAGATTGTTCGAGTTCTAATCCCTGAAGCAAGAGGGAGCGAACCCGTAGGCAGAAGATTATTCGAGTTCTACTCCCTGAAGCAAGAGGGAGCGAACCCATAGGCAGAAGATTGTTCGAGTTTTATTCCCTGAAGCAAGAGGGAGCAAACCCACTGATCGAAGATTGTTCGAGTTCTACTCCATGAAGCAATAGGGAGCAAACCCTTTTTTTAAAAGATTGTTCGAGTTCCTTAATTCCTGAACAACGGGGAGCGGGCCCGACATTTGAAGATTTTTCAAATTTCAGTTATCCTGAAGTAACAGTGGAGTGCTTTAATCTTTTAAAGTTCGCATTTCCGGACAAATTTGACCATCTATTGATCTTTGTTCTATTCTCGTCGCACGACAATGAGTAAAGAGGGGCAGCTGTAGATGCTCATTTTGTCCGGGCTTATAGAAAATTACTTGCGACCCAACTCGTACCCAAGACAATTGAATACCCAATTCAAGTCCAAGGATCGAGTAGAGCAGCCTCTGTTCCACGTGAGAATTCCCTGGAAAATAAATACGGTTATGGGGAGTTAACAAGCATGAATGAGAAGTTATCAATAAGATTGGGGTCCATAATCGCAGAAGGAAATGGAAAAGAGGTTCAGTTTTTATTGGGAATTAACCATCAGAAACTAGGAGATCAGGAGGGGAACTAGAAGAAAAAAAAACGTAGAGGAGAGTGAGCCATTATATGACAGAGAGACCATTTTTCGAAGAAGGAGAACACATCAGTAAATCCAAGGTTCAGAGCAGCATTTTAAAGCCGTAAAATTCCAGGTTTCTCATACAATTAGTTCCATTTTCTTCCATCTCACTGCTGGTCATATGCTTTCTCAAACCCATGGTGTTTTAGAGACTACAATTCTCTGAGGGGTTGCACTTATGCGCACTAGCTTTCTTTATTTGATTTTCTTGGTCAAATTGTGATATTAGCCCCTCTAATATATGTGTGTTGGGTTATGAATGGTTGAAAAGGGTGCAGTTGGTGAGCCATGAATGCTCGCGAAAACAATTCATTGTACCGTATTCTCATTAATTCTTTATTGTTATTGTTTTAATTGTTTAATACACCTTAGAATTAACAATGTGGAGTAAACAACACGATGCTTTTAGCATTTTACCGCAAATACGAAAGCTTTGACTAATATATCCGTTGGTGTTATGAAGTTTCGAATGTATGGGTGACTAGAAATAGTTGGGTGGTCGGAGTAGTGGTTCCGGTTATGAGATGTGGCTGAGATAGTTTCAGTTTAAGTTAGGTTTAATATTTGAAGTAGTATATATATTACAACTCTAGGGTAAATTATAGTTTAGTCCTTATAGGTTTAGCGTTAATTTGCACTTTAGTCACCTACAAGGATTGCTTTCGAATCCTGCCATTTTGTAATTTTCCTGATTTCGTTGTTTTCCCAATTTTAGTTTTAGTTGTAATTTTTTAGATATTTATGTTAAATCCTCTATATTTATGTGTGTTTTTATTTAAGTCTTTGGTTTATTTTCAATTAGTATGTTTAATTATACATTTATTTAATTTAGTCATTTTTAATATATATAAAATTTATAGTTCAACATGCCATGTTTTTATTTGAATCACATTTGTACATTATAGGTTAATATGCATAATCTATGACTTTTAATTAAAACATACGTATATAATTTTTTGTATGTCACGTTGTGTGATATTTTTAATTTTGTTTAATTAATTTTTGGCATAACATCCTTTTTGAACAATTTGTATGACATCCTCACGTGCATAACTCGACATATTACACAATTGGATTAAGGGTAATACACTTTTAATTTAAAATTGTTTTAAGTGGTTTGTCATACGCATTTGAGATCCGCTTTTAATAATTTTAAAATAAAAGTGTATCTCGAAAGTGAAACCTAAAAATCAATTCTTCACCTAAAATTTGGGAATGAAAGAAAAAGAAGTGTTCGTTTATTTAAATTTATCGAGAAAATGTTGTTATAGCTTTTAAGATCTGATCTCGATATTTGTAAATAATCGAACACTCTTTATCTTTCTAAAACGACTCGGTAATATTAATTTAATTTATTTGAGTGCTTTTGAATGTTTTTAAATTTACATATTTGGTTTATGGGATCAAAAATCAAATTAAGTTCGAATTTGTAAAGTTTAATGCAAAGACGTTAACTAATCGATTAGGTACTGATTTAGGGCGTTATGAGGGTGCTAATCCTTCCCTACACGTAACCGACTCCCGAACTCATTTTTTTTATAACGCAAACCACAATTTGTTATTTTAATTTAAATTAATTTTTATTTAAAATTACAAAACATTTTTGGGTGCCCAATCACACCCTAATCAAGTATTGGTGGCGACTCTTTGAACCGTATTTTTCAATTGTAAAGGAAATTCAAAATTTTTCGAAACGATAGGTCTTTTAAATCGTATTTGTTTTTAAATTAAATAGTGGTAACTTAAAAATTAATGTGGTTTTCAAAATCTCACCTTTAAGAAAAAAATCGTTTCGACAGCGAGCACTATCATATTTTTAGACCGTGATTTGAAACCATGAACTAGAATAATTTCGAGAGAAATGAGGAGTCGGGACGACGTAAACTATGTTCTATACTGGGATTATGATCCGGTTAATACGATGTAATGTGGTGCGCAGTTGTTGGAGTTTGGTGAATCAAAGACGGCAGTTGCAACGCAAGAAGGTTGCAAGAAGGTGGAAGATTGAGTTGGCAGACACTGAAACAGACGCTTTTTTATAGGTTGAGAAGGAAATAGTGTTTTACGTTAAAAGCCCAAATGTTAGTTTCTATATCATAAAGGTTCTATTTTTCTTCGATAAAAAATGGGTTTTAATTATAAAAAGTTAACTTTTTAATAGACGTATTCAAATTTAAGATATTTTTAATTTTTAATTATTTTTTAATAGTCAAAATAATTATAAAATAATATCTGTCTATGCTTCTTTTAATCAATTGACAATAAACGAATAAATACCTCCGTAAACGTAAGTGTTAGAACTCAAAATTTTAAAGGAGAGTATTATTTTTTTTATCATTAATGAGTTTTCAATTTTAAATTATTAGATATTTGATTAGAATATAGTTTTATAATATTTTTTAATAAAATACAGTTATCGTGTTTTAATAAACTTTTAAATTATTTCGAATGATCTCAATAATAAATTGAATTTTTATTCTTTTAAAAATTTTGAATTCAAATAATTGTTTCCAGATTTTAAAGAAGAAAGATAAACAAAAAGAGAATATTGTGATGCTTTCTACTATTATGACTAATTGATTTTTCTGGAAACTGGGGTTTTAAATATGAATTAAAACATTAAATTCTATTGTAATTGAATCAAGTAACAGCAAAAATCAATAAAAAAGAAAGAAAGAAAGGAAGAAAACCCAACAAACAATCCCCTTGTCTTTTCAGTTTTCACCATCTCCCCACCCTCATGACAAACTATTGAAACGTAAATCTAAAGTAACAGTTTAACAAGTTTAAAAAGAATAAAAGCTTCTGCAATTGGAAACCCAGATTTTGCTTTTGCAAAAAATGGAGGTTAAGGTCGATTCTACGTTGAAGGAAAATAAAGGAGAAACAATGGGAGGTATATGCTTTCGTTCCTCGGTCTCAGATCAAATATTTGAGATTTGGGGTTTTAGTTTTCTACTGGTGTTTATTTACCTTTCGATTTTGAGGCTTTTGGGATGTTCTAAAGTTTGGCATCTTTGGTTTGCCGTTATATGTTAAGATAGTTGCATGCATATAGATTTTTTTTGGTCAATAAGCGCGGCATTTGGTGGTGTTTGGTTGTTGGGAAAGCGGAGCAAGAATTTTAAAACTCTACCCCATGTTTTTCCCCAAAGAAAAGACTGTCTTCTTTGCTTGGAATTATTTTCAATGATTTAGCGTTGTGTCTGGTACAATAGAGAGAAATCCAAACTGAGGGAGGGAAGATCCTCACCTTTGATCCAAATCATTGTGAAGGGCGGTAAGCCTGTACCCTACTATTAAGTCAAGCTTAAATTGTGTCGGTTTTGTGCTGTTTTATCACTTGAAAAATATACAAAACTTGTACATGGCTATGCTTATTCAATTGAGCCTTGAGCATTCTGGCCCCCGTCTCTATGGTTGCATGTTAGCATTTGAATGTTCATATTAACTGCGGATCAAAATTACCATTCTGTAATGGATCGTGGAATATTTTTGAACTGCTAGGAATGTATAGCATCTGCTGGGATCATGTTGTTGATGCTGTGGATTTTCTGTATAAGCTGATACCTTTTGTTCCTCAAACATAGTTCTATGTGGATGTGAAATTATGTGAATACCTTCGGCGGACATGTTTTAAAAATTCTTCATACTTTAACAAACCTGCTAGTGATTCATCAATTTGTTCATTTGTTCCACTTGAAGATGGTGCCAAAGGATTTTTAAAGGTTAATTTCTCTAGAATATTGGATGAGATGTGTAAGACTTTATTGTTAAAGCAAAAGTTCCCTAATGGAAGGAAATATTAGGTAACCCCAATCTCAAGAAAACTTCACTAAGTTAAAGGCTTATGAAGGCAGCTTATTGATAAGATCATGTAGTTGGTCGAATGTTGAACTTTATTATTTTCTATTGTAGATTGAAGTGTTTCATGTTCTATGGTAAGCGGCTGAATTTTCAGATAACTTTTCTATATATGTTCAGTTCTTTTCTCCATTTTGTTTCTTCTAAGTTTTGCTTTGGGGTTATAACAACTGCTCTTTCTGTGCCAGTTTTATCTACCAAGATGCCCTAACTTGAAAGTTATTAATTTTTTAGCTACAATAATGATTCAGAAAATATTGAAAACGGAGATATATACTTTTTAGGTTAAAATATTCTTCAAGGCTGAAATTTAGTCTTTCTACTTTTATTTTTAGGATTTTTTTCCCTCTACTTTCTAGATTTAAATCAAGTCTAATTATTAATACCATTAAAATTCTTCTGCTAAATTTAAGTCCATTACTTTTTCTTTTTCTTTTTTTGTATGGATGCATTTCAAAATGTTACATCAATGAAACTAACATGATTTTTACGGTGTTAACAATTGGATTTGAATTTTTAAATTTGAAAAGTTGAGGGACTAAATTCCCGACAATAGAAGTAGGAGGATTAAATTCCAAATGTATGAAGAGTACAGGTTCTTGGAGCATGCTTTAGCCATACTTTTTATTGTATGGTTGCAGAAAGAAATAAAAGAAGGTAAAAAATAACATACATTTCTTTGGAAGGAAAAAATGCAAGATCGCTGAGGTACAGATCATGATCAGTGCATGTGCCGTGTATTCTGTAGGTTTTTTATCTTGAATGTTGGAGATAAGATATGATAGTTTGTAATGAGTAAAATGGCCTATCCTGTCATACCACCCTTAAAAGTTCTTCCTTTTTTGATGTAATCATTTTTATGTGTAGTTAATGATATCGAGACATTGCTTCTAGAGCTAGCTGAATTGGACAACTATGTTTGCTTAAATTTCCTCTAAGGGAAACCAGACAGATTTATATCATTTAAGTTGTCCTAACATGAGGTACTCCTGAAAATAAGAGATAGGTATCAAGAAGATCATTGCACGTAAGAGAGATTGTGGATGGTATAATCTGACAAATCCAAAGCTGTACAAATGGTTAAAGGAATATGGTGAAGTCGTTCACCAGGGTCGGTGTTATTTGGATGTGGTTTTAGTTTAGCTTAGTTTCCATTTTCCTCTTTTTACAGTATTTTATGTGGTTGATTAGTACCCATTCTGCTGCTTCTCATTTGATAGAAAATAAATCATAAATATCTATGACAACTTTGATTTTTATTATTAAGCGTAGCAGCAAAGTTAACTGCCCTTTTTTTCTTTCATACTTAAGTTTATCATACTTAATACATGTGTTCCTAATTATCTGTGATCGTTTTAAATTCAGGTGAACTGCAGACCGAAGAAGATAAAGTTTCTCTGCATTTAAATAAGAAACGAACCGTCAAAACACCATCCCAGGTTATGGCCCTGGAGAACTTCTATAAAGGTAATAATTCTTGTTTTCTCATCATATTGAAATGTTTCTTGTTTTCTGTTTCAAAAATATTTGTTGTTCTTTTCCAGAGGACAGATTTCCTTCAGATGAAATGAAAGAGAAACTGGCTGTTCAAATAGGGTTGACACAAAAGCAGATAGCTAGTTGGTTTTGTCATAGAAGGTTAAAAGACAAAAGGAGAGATGACTCGTATGCTAATGGGCAACATGATCATTCTAGTGGTGTTATCCAGGATCATGTTAGTGGGCTCAGGCAAGATTCTAGTGGCAGTATTAAACAGGGTGATTACAGGTATATTGATCCGAGGGTGGTAGAAAGTCGAAGGATTTTTGGCCAATGGTTTCCAGTTACTGACCTGACGTATGAGCATAGATGTCACCAAAATCCATATGATGTTCAGATGGAGGATACATCTTCTGAAAGTGGTTTGTCTTTACATGATCAGCTTTTTTCTGAAACTGGGAATCCTTATGACATGTGCCATTCAGCTAAACTTACAAAAAATGGAGCAATTGTGCATACTAATCCGAGTTCTAAAAGCATGGGTTATAAGCCATCTGGATATTTGAAGGTTAAGGGTGTGAGCGAGAATCATGTCATTATTGCTGTTAAGAGGCAGCTGGGAAGGCATTATCGAGAAGATGGTCCAGTACTTAGTATTCAGTTTGATCCACTTCCTCCTGGTGCATTTGAGTTCCCAAGTAGCCATCCACTCAATGGTAAGTTAAATAACCAGATCTGTATGATATATTTACAATTTTTGTAAAATCATGAAACAATTCTAGCTGACAGGTTTAGTAGGTTTTGTTGCTTTTATTTATTGTTAGTTTGCATGCTAAATATATTATTATCTTCTGAATTTAGAAATAACTGTTATAATGAACATATTTTTAAGTCTACAGGCATCGGCTGATGCATCTTAATTTCAAAAGCAAAAGCATAAGACAAATCTTTCTAGTGCTGGAACGAAAGAGAGGCTTAAGCCCCAAGTCATTGGAGCATAATCATATTTTTTTCTGTGTGCATGTGTATATTTCCGCTTCTTTCCTTAACCCTTTCCATTTCCTTCCTTCAATGTTTACTTTCTTGTTTCATGTAACTTTTCTACTAGGTGTTTCTTCATTGCTAAGTAGCTAATTATTTGGTTTTCATCTCACTTTTGTTTCCCTTTTTAGTTTTTCTTCTCTGCTCTCTCTGTCTCCCTTGTTTTGTCTAAACTCTTATCTACACCCCTTCCATTTTTCACCTTAAATTTGTTTCTCTTTGTTTTGCTGCCATGAATTTCTCCTTTTGATTTCAAAAACATCTTTCTTGTTTTATTGTCTGTGTTACAAGTTATTTAATTACAAGAGTTAAAATGCAGAGGGATGATGTTTTAATGGATTTTCATTGCCTGTCTGGAAAAAAAAAAGGCCTGCAGTGAAGTTTATGATTCAGTCGGAAAGGCATACATGCCTATGAGGTGCATTTTTGACATCTTGCTGCAATTTTCAAAGGTTTATCCTGTGGCACCCCGCATCATTCATTTCAAACACATTTAAAAAAACTGTTGATAGACATAACTACCACAAGATATGTCTGAGAAGTATAGTTGAAATGAAAATTGCTTTTAGTAGTCTAACACGTGTTATGTTCTGGGGTCTGGGATTGAGTCATGGGACGAGTAGCACACAAATCAAATTCAAAGAAAGGGTCTTTGCCCTTATTTCGATTTCTAGTTTTGCCTATGGTTGTGGAACTCAAGGATAGTTGCCTACCGTAAGTTTCCAAAAATTTCAACTTTCAACCTATTTTATTCATTAATAATTTACCAGGTTTACAATTTAGGAAAGTACTCTGTTCCAACTGTTGCCTCTTACTTTGTTATACTTTGAGAAAGTTCTTGTTATTGCAAAGGCATACAATTGACCAAACCATGAAGATTCGAGTTTGATGTCAGCAATTCATCAATAAACGGTTAATTCTAAATGACATGCAAATAGAATAATCATAAAAGTCAGGTTAGTGGCTCGGAAATTAGAATGGATAAATTTGAATATGAATCCGATGCATGTTTCTGTGTGATTAGAACATGCTTCTCCGAAGCTTGAAATATTCATAAAACGTTGCAGTTGGTTTAGCATAGTTGTGCTCTATACCTTGGTCTTTTTGTGTGAGGCTATTTGTCTCCTTACCTGTAGACCTGTTATTCCAGTTCTATCAGCAGATGGCACTCTTCAGCTGTGCTTCCCTTGTAGTCTTGAAGCTTAGCTTTGATCATGTATCTTCAACCTCAAAATATTTGAACTCATATGTATCTTCTATTTATTGTGTTAGCAGAGCTAATCAGTGTTAGAGGTTCCCAACAGGATTGCTATCCAGATATCTCTGGAGTGATGAAGCAGCCTAAGCCTAAGATTGTAAGTGGATTCTTGATGCATTTTTCAAAGTTTTTATATTATTTAGCATACATAATTGACTCCCAAAGTAATTTTAATTTTTTTTTTAATTATATTACCCTCTTTACAAGTGTTCAAAATAACTGAGAGTCATTTTGTTCCCGTTCGATCATTATATGAACTAACTATGATGTTAACCTATTTTTCCTAAGGTGCCATTTTGCAATCTTGTTGAGAGAGAACTAAATTTGGGTATTGTCTTTGATAATGGAGAATTTGCTGTGAGTATTATAGCATGGACCATGCTGCTGGTATTTACAGGGGTAAAAGCATAGAAAAAGTGCTACAGGTTATTTAGTTTTAAGCAAATTTCTCTGGCCCCAGTTATCTTAAAATTACTTTCGGAGGAAGAGAAATCTGCTATGCTCGTCGAGAAATATTTCAGATCCACATGCATCTGGATCTTTTAGTTGAACAGTGATGTAATGAATTATGGTTGTACTTTTGACATTAGAGCTTGAAAGCTTTGGTTGTCTAATTTTAACTTCGTAGTGCTTCAATTGTACTTTGTACTTGGATATATGTAAGTCACTCTAATTCTTTCAATTAGAAGCTATTTGGACATTAGTTATTAATGGAAAATCATATTTAACAAACTGGATATCATCCTTCTTTTTATGATGTTATTCAGAAGTTCCTTTTTTTAACATTTTTCTGCTGCTTCTTATTTTGTTTATTTCCACTGTAGATTAATGAAGTACATAATACCATGGTGAGTTCTCAGGATTCATGCATGAAGGGTGAAAACTTCAACATTGTGCATGGGTCTGAAAGTCAGGGCTGGAAATCTCATCATGAACCAAAACATAAGCCTTCTTTTTCTTGTTCAAACCCTTTTCCTAGGCAGGACCCTCCTGTAGATATCTACAAAGTTTATGCTGACAAACCTGCTGTCAATGATTGTCAACGAAGTAGGATGAGCTCTAAGCTTGCTGTTGGAAGGATGGTGTCGGATTCTTTTTCTAATTATCCTGTCTTCTATAGTGAGAAAATTACTAATGAACAAGAAAGTCCTGGGTCACATGATAATGAAACTCATACCTACATAGCCCCGAAAAGCCTGCCTAAAACTTCAAATTTGATAAGTGCATGCAGTGAGTCCTTGGGTGCTGATAGAGTGAAATTTGTGAGGACGGCAAAGGTGTCATTATAGAATTTATAATTTTCATGCTTTAGCTTTGTCATTTACCTGTTTCCATGCTGAATGATTTTGCTTCTAATTCTTGTGTCGATTATGTGCAGGTGGAGAATGTTGGTGGCGAGTGGAATCTGAGAAAGGATTACCCTGTCAGAATAAAAGTTGATGCAACAAATGAATTGAGAGTAAGTTCAAGCTTTAGTTGGCTTGCGGTCAAATATGCATATCATATACTAAATTTTGTTTTGCTTGACGCCCTCTTTCAGATTTGAAGGTCACCAAACAAGTTGATATTGAATTTTGTCAACAAGATTTTGTGGCAAACGCATTCCATGCTAGATTGCATGTGTCGAAAAATCCTAGTAAAGGGTTAGTATAATATATATTTTGCCTTCTCAATCTATCTTTTCATTGGCATATGCATATGCCAATGAGCTTTTGCTTGTCTCTATTGTGATCTTGCATGTCTGTACACTGGCATTTATTTTTAAGTGAACTCGTGTATGTTCCCCTTTATTGAGTTTTCTTTTTTCCGTTTGCTTGCGTCTGTGTTGTGCATGGCCATTCTTGTTTTTGCTCATGATGAGAGGCTTACTATATGAAATATGAGTAAGGTCGATGCAATCGAAGTGTTTCATTTAGCTTATGCATATCTCTAGTATTAACCGTTTCGCTAAATGAGCATTAGTTACATAGTAACTCTCAACCTTCCACAAAACTGATGTCTGTTCATTTGATAACTTATTTAGCAAAACCGTCCCATATGTATCATAAACTTGGAATGCCGAGATTTTTCGGATGGTTTTTTTTCTCTCTTCTGGAACATAAATGACGAGCAATAATTCTTCCATATATCTTGTAAATCATTCGTTTTTTTGGGGTTAGTGGTGGTGTGGCATTCATTTTGTTGAAGTGTATGGCTGTATGCCTAGCAAGGCATGATTCTGAATCGCAGTTGCGTAATCTTTTTATTGCATTTTATGTCATCTAGATCTTCCATGGATGTACCGAGTAGCTTGAGCGAGGATGAAATTGCAGAAACTAGTTTATCCTCTCGGATTGACTATGCTTACGGTTGAAGGATTGTCCATTTTTCAAGAGGCTCAAGGGGTTGTAAAAAGATGTACAAATGATGGCGTGACAGGAAAACTACTGCTAGGGAGAGCATTGGGGGCAGTATTTTGTTCATTGTATTATGTCCTTAAATAGTGCTCACCTGTTAACGTAAATGTGTGTGAACTCTTCGGTTTGGTAGTTAATTGTTGTGCTTTGAGGTTGTTTTTATATCTTCAGTAACTATTGGAATGTAAGAGTCGTCAACAACAACAAAACTTTATTCCCATATGCAATGGGGTAAGGAGGAGGTAGGGTAGTAGACTGCCCCCAATGTCGTTGAGAGCAGTTTCCGTGAAAGACCTCCAACAGTCAGAAAATTAAAAAATAAAGATAAAATATAATGCATGTATAAAGAATTATCTACAAAGAAACAAAGCATTTATGTACAAGAGATCGATCATTTTTTTAAATACCAATAGTTGTCAGTGAAGAGATCGATCCTTCGAAGGAAGAGATTGATCATTTTTATGTCCCTACGAAAGAGATAAAAGTGATCGACCGTTTAGATAAGCCCCATATGAATTGGTCTATAACAATCTAGAAATAAATAAACTAAAATAAAGAGAGAATTAGAGACAATAATATATTGAAAATTTTTATAACGCTCAACAAGTACCGTTGAACACCATTAATTTAATTTATAGAAATTTAAAATTCTAAAAAACGTATAATTATAAATTAGTTCAAAATTTAAATGTAAATTATTTAAAATATTAATTACATTATTTTCCATAATTTATTTAACGATTTTTAAATAATTTTTAATGGTAAATTATAAATTTTTTTATTGTTAAAAATGATTATAGAAAATATGTAATTAATATTTGAGAAAATAACCTCATTGACCAAAAATGTCTTATAATATACGATTTTAACTAACTTTTTTTGGATTTGTCAAAATGACCAACTAAATCGCAATGCGATCGATAATTCGCAACGCGATCTCCGGTATCGCAAATTAGTTTCCAGATTCGCAACGCGAACTTGGACTATCGCAACGTTAACTTGGACTATCGCAATGCGAATATGTAAATCGCAATGCGATAGTCGAAGTTCGCATTGCGATAGTCGAATTTGGAAAATCGCAACGCGAACTTCGACTATCGCAATGCGAACTTCGACTATCGCAACGCGAACTTCGACTATCGCATTGCGATTTACATATTCGCATTGCGATAGTCCAAGTTAACGTTGCGATTTATTCCAAATTTGTTGCGATAGTCGAAGTTCGCGTTGCGATTTATTCCAAATTCGTTGCGATAATCCAAAATCGCAACGACTGGTGGTATTGCATTTGTTTCTTAAGAATTTTCTCTAAAAAGATAATATTAACGCGGACGTGTCAAAGACACGTATTACCACGACCATGACCACGACCGGAGATCGCGTTGCGAATTAGCGATCGCATTGCGATTTAGTTGGTCATTTTGGTAAATCCAAAAAAAGTTGGTTAAAATAATATATTATAAGGCATTTTTGGTCAATGAGATTATTTTCTCTTAATATTTTATTTTAAATAATTTACTTTTAAATTTTTAATTATTCGTCGAATTATCTTAAATCTTAAATCTTTATAAATTAAATTAATAATACTCAACGATACTGGTGTTCAACGGTATTCGTAGAACGTGACAAATTTATCCATATATATTAATGTAATATAAAACAATAAAAATGCACTCAACCAAAAGTTCTCAAAATAATCATGAAGCTCGAATCTACATGAAAAACGAAAAGATCGAAAAACTTTTATAATGAAATCATGAAGCTCTCAAATAATCATATCTCTTGGACATCTTTCGATTGATCAAGCTAGTAATTGGGTATGAATTAAGTGACTTTGTTATTTTTTGAGGTCTCATATTCGAGTATCTATGTATAAGCGTTCTGAGACTTAAGAACGTCAGATAAATGACGTAATAAAAAATGTTACAAAAAAATAATATTTTCAGTTAATATAATTTAAAATGTTAATTTTTTCTTAACATTTTTTGGTGGCATACTTTCTTCATAATATTCTCGATGGTACACATTCTTTATAATATCTTCATTGGCAACCGAAAATATTACATTACTATTTTCGATTCAACCGAAAAGGTTAAAAAGTTAACATTTTAGATAACATTTTCGTTTGTGCTCAACCGAAAATGTTATGTTTTTTATAACATCTTCGGTTACGCTCATTTCATATTATTCCTCCTTAATCTTAAATTAGACCGTCGTATAATGAACTTTCCATTTTTTTCTAAAAGAGATAGATCCTTTCGATAATATATCAATCCTTTTGATAAAATATCATTTTAATTAAAAATCCTAAAAGTTTTAGCTTCAAAAAAAATAATCTTAGTTAATTTAAAAAACCGACTACTTCAAAAATCATCAAGACTTTAATTTATTTTTGAAAGATTTAATTAAATATAAAATTAAATTTATAAATATTAATCATATAAAAAATATTATAATTCAAATTCCTAACCTATTTCGATATAAAACATAGATTCTTTATAAATAAATATAAATAAAAGAGGAATAAAATTTTAACTTCTTTATGACAAACAATTTCATTTTGAATTTAATTTTTTTTATAAGTTAAAGTTATTATAAGATTATATTTATTTAGAAAATGAACATTCAAATACTCTTATAAATGATGCGCTCGTACAGAGGACCTTTAAGTAGGAAAACTCAAATGAGTAATTCGACCACCAACTGAATCAAATTATCATTATCCGAATTAATTAAATTTTTTCTTTAACTGTTAATCGAACTGAACTTTTTTTTTTAAAATATTAACCGAGTTGAACTTTATTTGGTTAATTCGATTGATGACTGAACTAATCAGAGTTTTTAATAATTTTTTTAGTTAGATTAATTTAAGCTTAATAAAAGTACTTTTTTATTTGAATTAAAATTTAATTAGGTCTTGATAATTTAATGGGTCTAATGTGATTAAAAAATAATGGAGTCTTAATTTCTAATAGATTTTAGCTTAAAATATGTATTTAATATAAATAATATTTAATATATTCGATTAATTCGGTTAATTAATCGATTTCAAATAGAACTAATGGTTAACTGAATATTAAAAAATATTAACAGTTCTCCAAACCAAACTAATTCGATGACCGACCGTTCTAACCGAACTAATTCGATTTGATCAATTAATTCAATTAAAATCGAGAAATAAATACCCTTATCTTTAAAGATAATAATTACTCTTTTAATCACTGATGCCGCTTCATCTATGCTTCATTTAAAACTTAAATGAAACATTAAAGATGTTAATAACTTCATGATATCTTAATGCCATAAATGAAGTCTTAACGTTTATGGACGTACACTTGATTTTATGTTAAAGTTAAATGTATAAAAGTTTTAAAAAATAAATTTATAGAATTTAAAGACGAAAATATATTATTAATAAAAAAACGTGAAAATGTCTAAAAATTATGAAAATTGAAGAATGTTTGAGAAGGAAAAGTAAGGATTCAAGTGATGAAGGTATTATTTTAATGAAGAAAATTACAGTAACCGACTGCAAAAATATTTCAAAGGAAATCGCCATTGAAAGGAACTCCAGTTTCAGGCAACCATTTGTCGCCATTAATGAAGTTGGAAACACTGAATTTATCAGCTTCAGTGCTACTTATATCCTTATGGTATCCAGGCCAATTAACTCGATAATCAGTACTCGATCCTGGTCCATAGTTCCTATATTCTGCATAATAAAGTGTACTACCATAATCTCGATTCCATTCGATCCATCCCGAAGGTTCAATCAAACTATCCATGAAACTTCGTACGTAAACGGTTCTCGAATACTGCCTCCACGGCCTTCCGAGATACGTTTTCTTTGCACCGCTGCTCGAAGCTAAGTCACCGGAGGCTTTAATGATGCAATTGTCGATCGATATGCCAGTTCTTTGGTTCGGATCGGTCCTTCCTTGTGCAGTGATGATGTTGTGTTTATTCGGCAACAGTCGAGGGTATATGTTACATTTTTGGAAGACAACGGGGGCGTTTCCGAATATGAAATCGACCGTGCCGTAGATGTCGCATTCTCTGTAGAATTGCCTGGCAGAGTGTGCATATAAGGTGTCCTGGTATCCCTCGAAACTGCATCGGTAAAACACGGACTTTTCGGCTCCGTTTCGGACGGCGACGGCTTGGCCCTTGCTAGGTCCAGCTGTGTTTCGGAATGTTATGTCGACTGCGATGAACTTCTTGCCCGCAACAGCTGCAGCAGGGGAGTTACGTATGAGTCAAGAAAGTGTAATGTTCGGAACAACATTATTTAAGGCTGAATTATACTTTACCGAATGTTGCTGTATTGAACGTGGTTAACCCGTCTGCGGTGCTGCGACTTCCGGTGATTATTGTGCGGCCTATACCGTCGCCGATCAAAATCAAGTTCTTCTTATTACTAGGTATCAAAATGTTTTTTTCGTAGATGCCGCTGACCACGTAGATCACGAAGTATTGATTGTTGTCACTGGGATTGTTCGGTGCGGAGGCGATCGCGTCGTTGATGGTTGTGAATTGGCCATCTCCTCTAGGACTTACCATCACCACTTGTGCCACTGAAATTTTCCCATTTGTTAACGTTTTAATATCCTTTTTTCCTGTTGCAAATTCATGAATTGCTTGCTTATCGGTTGACATTAGCAATGACAAAGGGGAATTTCTTTCGTGAATCGAACCGGATTTGGGAACCATAAGGTTTCTTCGAGTTACGGTGGAGTCACCATCATCCCAATGCCTGAAAACCGCTAGAGAAACACTGATGCTCTTCGTTCCGTTCGACCGAAACAAACGATCCTTGATACTCGATGCTAACGGCATCGATTCGAGTCCTTGGAAGCAAGTCTCTACGTTAGCTAGAGCAGCACTAAGCAAAGCATGCAAATCATCAGCGACGAAGCTGTTCAAACCATCCGAAACTTGTGACAAGTAATCCACGTTCTGATCAGACAGAAACCGGCAATCCTCGAGTGCTCGTACCGTCCCGAGAGACGTCGAAGGGAGCGCGAGTAAATGTTCGACGGAAGCAAGCAAACTACGAGCATTCGACAAAGAATGATGGATCGAAATGTTGCCATAATCGAAGATG